TCTGACCACAAAGTCCCAAGATTTTCAATGAATGGTTTAGAGCGCATGATTGTCTGGCTGTGGGTCACCAGCCAATGGTATCCGTGAGCCTACTTTCTCCCAGTTACTAGGTAGAATATACAAAAATCTTTAAGATTTAAAATTGCACAGTTGCAAATAGCCTTTTGAGATGATCTGGCCCTTTTATTTTCTTTTTCTGTTTGCAGAAACAGTGTTTTCATTTTTTTTTTTATTTTTTTCCCTAAACTTTGAGATTCCCTGCAGATTGTGGGGTTACTGCTAACTAGGAAGAGAGGTCTGGTGGGTAGAAGTGTGTATGGAGTAGAAGACGGTGTTGGGTGGTGGGGAGGTGAGGAGGTAAACATAAGCAACCCTCTTTCCTTAGCCAAAGGAATCTTGTTCAAGTTGTTCTGCTTGTGGGGGCAGTGGAGAGATAAGGGGGAACACAGGGAGGGATTGGAGGGGTAGAGAATAAAACAAGATGGCAGCTGCAGGAGTAGACTGTAGACTGTGTCATTCATTCAAAAACCATTGAGGGAGAGATGCTGAGGATACTGAGAGGCAAAACATCTTTCTCTCAGGGAGATGGCATTCCAGTGGGGGTGGGAAAATGGCAGCAAACAAAGACTTTCTAGTTGGGCTTCATCATCTGCCTGTAGACGGACTGGTTGAGTCCAACACAGTAGCCAGGTACCTGAGGGGTACTGTAGATAGTAAACCAATTTGCTGTTTTCCTTGTTTAACTTAAGAGGTGACTCAGAGTTCTCAAGGATTTGTGAGTTTGTTTTCCAGAGGATTTGTGAGCTTGTTTTGCAGAAGAAAGAGAATGCCTTAGGGGAGGTTGCGATCACTGGATGGCTGGCCCTCAGCAGCCCTGAAGCCCAGAAGTCAGATTGCCCAGTGACCTCTTTGTTTCTCCAAAGTTCCTCCTGCCAAGCCCATTAGCTCTATAAAACCCCCATGTTTCCTTTTCTTGTGGAGGTGGATTTGAGTGAACCCAGGCTCCCATCTACTTGTTTTGGCCAATTCAAATAAATCTTTCTCCATCTCCAAGCACTGACATCTCAGTGTTTGGCTTCCTGTGCATCAGGCACACGAACTTGAGATTGAGAGGTTCGGTGTCAACACCCCCTACACACACACAATGCTCCTCTCCAATGTCCCACACACCACAATCAGGTCATTGTATAGATTTATTCTAGAATAATGTTCCTGAGACGCATTTCTTCACATTTCCCTCAAGAATCATAATGCTTCCCCTGGAGGCCTCCAATTCCTTTCTAATTCAACTCAAAACTGTGCACTTAACATACTACCAATTAACACACTAGCAATGTCTCCAAAGTTTCCTTCAAGAACTGGGTTGCTCTTGGGAAGAGACAGAAGAGGGGGCTGTGAGAGTGTAAGAGCCTGGCCTTCCCTCAGCCTCTATCTGAAGAAAATAAGACCCAGGGGTTCTGGGGAAGTTTCTTCCAGAAGTATCCAGTGAAGCCAGGCCACAACCCCTGTCATAGCTGACCTGACTCAGAGAGAGCATGAGGAGGACCCACTCAGTGGG